ATAATTCACTGAAATAAAATAAAAGCATGGTTGATTTTTCCAGGTCTGTGAAAGCAGCCAAATGTCATCACATTGATTCATGTCTGTTTTATTTTGCATGTTACAGCACTGTGATTTAATTTTGAAAAGACAGAGAGAGAGAGAGTAAGAAAGACTCACTCACTGATATGCATGAGTCTGTGTTGTGATGACTAAGTTTCTATACAAGCATACCTCAGAGATGATGCAGGCTAGCTCCCAGACCACAGTCATAAAATGAATTATCACAATAAAGCAAGTCACATGAATTTCTTGGTTTCCCATCACCTATAAAAATTATGTCTTTATAACTATACAATACTGTAGTTTATTAAGTGCACAATAACATTATGTCTACAAAAACAATGTATAAAACTTAATTAAAAATACGCTGTAGCTAAAAAATGCAAACAATCATCTGAACTTTCAGCAAGTCGTAATCACTGATCACCGATCACTGTAACAAGCCAAACAATGAAAAAATTTGAACTATTGTGAGAATTACCCAAACGTGACACAGACATGAAGTGAGCAAATGCTGTTGGGAAAATGGCTTCAACAGATCTGCCTGATGCAGGACGGACACAAAGCTTCAATTTAAAAAAAAAAAAAAAAAAAAAAGCATTATCCACAACAGGCAATGAAGCCAGGCACAGTAAAAGGGGCAGGAGGGGGTGGGTGCCTCTTATCTTCACCCCTGCTTCCCTCCTCCTCTCGAGTTTCTAAGGTTAACCTTGTAAGCGGCTGGGCCCTCCCACCTATTCTGGGATTCACGTCCATCACAGATCCCCCACCCTCACAGCAGACCCTTTCCCAAGCCACCCACAGCATGGCTCACTTCACCGATTCCTACCCTCGAGTCCATGGTGTGTAAAAAAATAAATAGAAAAAGCAAAACAAACATCCATATACAAAATCATCCATACACTCACCTGGGCAGAAACAGAAAAAATGAAGAAATGGGAGAAAAGCGTGTCAGATGTTAATGGCGCCTGTCTCTGCTGGTAGATAAGAGCCGATGTCTTCTTTTAAAAAAAAAATATATATATATTTCCCAAATTTTCTAGGCACTTCTTTTCTAACAGAAATATATTTTTTTCAATGTTTCCTCTTTTTTTTCTTTTTTAGCTTTTTTAAAGTTTTTACATCGATTCCAGTCAGTGAGCATATGGTAATGTGAGTTTCAGGCGCGCGACACCGGGATTCAGCACCCTCGTACATCAGCATCTCTAACCTGCTGACATCCTTCCCTCCCCTACTGGCAGACATGGCAAGAAGAGAGGCCATGCACCCCTTCCCCACTCCTTGCCCACTTCCATTTTCATTCAGTTATTACTCACACCCCTCGAGGGAAACTACAGTCCCCCAGGTGCCCGTGTGGGCATCGCACCACGCCCCGTGGCTTCTCTCCCCCCTTCAGCCCGGCTGATTTTGTTGGATTATCCCCCATCCCTTCAGCTAAGGTTTAAAACTGCAGCGTGAGCCTCAGATTTTCCTCTCCTTTCCTTCCCTGTTCCGTCATCCAACAAATCTCAGTCATATTGCAAGTGTACGCATCGGCCCTTCTCTCTCCCATTGCTACTGTCCGCAGTCTGCCCCTCTGGTGGCCTCACCACCTCCTTCCCTCCCTGTGCCCCCTCCCTTCCCCCATCTCACACACTGCTCTGCTTTGGCAGTTAGCGCCCTAACACTCAAATATAATCATCGCAACCCCCCCACCTTAAAATTCCTAATGGCTCTTGACTGCATACAGTATCAAATGAAATTACTGACCTGGTGCCGAAGGCCCTTCACAAGCCAATTTCAGCCCCGTGGCCTCATCCCTCATCTCTGCGGAGCATGCCCCAGTCTCCAGAACAAACCCACAGGCTCCTTGCAGGGGAGCTGAGGCTCCCTTACACCCATGAGCCTCTTGTCATGCTCTTTCCTCTGCTCTGGGCTGCCATTCTCCCTTTCTCTGCACGAACTCTTATTCATCCCTCAAGACCCAAACTGGTATTAAATTCTGACTATCTCAATAATTAGCACTTATCACACTGTATTTTGGTCCCCAGTAGACACTAACCTACTTAAGGGCAGAAGTGTCATTTTATCTGTTATTATAGCCTGGCTTCTTGCTTACAGAAAATCGGCAAATAAACAGGCAAGGGGAGAGGGATAGTAAAAATCACAAACCTTCCCTACAGAATGGATTTTGTGTTATATTAAGAGGGTAAGTAACTACAGTATTTCTCTCTTCTGAAAATAACCATAATTCCCCCCAGCAAAAGACTTATGTTGCCTGTATAATTCGGGACTGGCTCTATGTGAACTTGTGTACTTCTTAGCACCCATTATGTGATTTTGGCCACTTCTTTGGGTTGGGATCAGTCTCTCTAGATTAAAAAAGAAATTTTAGATCTTTATAATAAAAAGTGTAAACTGTCTTCATTTCTTAGCTGTTCGTTTAGAGTTAAGACTTACAAATCTGTACCTTCATCTTTAAAAAAAAAAAAAGAACATGTTTGAATATAGCTTTTGTGCAAGGAAAAATAATATTATGATATTCTTTCAACTTTTTCTAGTTTATTACATTTATTTCTAAAAGGGTCAATTATTAAATAAAATTATATCTTCCTAGGACATACAATGAGGTATATACAGTTACAGAAAATTTAAATCTAGAGAATTAGGGATTTCAAAAAGTAATTAAGCAGCATCTCACATTGTGGAATAGTTAATTTTGTTGACAATGGCATCATTAAATTCTACTAGAAATCTCCATGCCTCTAAAAGAAAGGAGTCAAGATATCAATCTCTCCTTGAATAGGAATGATGGGAACCCTCAGCAACTATTCACTGAACACCACATTCAAAACACGATACTAATAACCCTGGGAGACATTCAGAGGAGTAAGATATTTCACTTCCCTCAGTGCCCAAGAGGGACAAGAAGATAAATAACTACAATACAAGCTCCATCTGATGTGTCATAAGAAAGGGGCAGGGTGCCTGGGTGGCTCAGTGGGTTAAAGCCTCTGCCTTCGGCTCAGGTCATGATCCCAGGGTCCTGGGATCGAGCCCCACATCAGGCTCTCTACTCAGTGGGGAGCCTGCTTCCCCCCCCACCCCCCTCTCTCTGCCTGCCTCTCTGCCTACTTGTGATCTCTCTCTGTCAAATAAATAAATTTTAAAAAGTAAAAAAATAAATAAATAAAAGGGGCAAATGCTCTAAAAGTTCAGAAGAGAAAGATATTCTATCCAATTGAGAGATCCAAGAAACTCTTCTTGCAAAGAACAAGACAGAAGCCCTAAAGAACAACTAGCTTTTTTTCTTTGTTTTTTTTTTTAAACAAATAGAATTGAGAAAAAGGCCATTCCAGGCAGAGGGAATAGCAAAAACAGAGGCAGAACATGGGAGGTCAGTTTGGGTCCCTGTCTGAGGTCTCAGAGGGCGGGACATCAGCTCACTTCTCATCCTTGGCCTTGCTCACTCCAAATGCAGGGCTTCCTTCCAACTCAAGCAGAGCCCGTCAGAGAAAAGCTAAAAACATAAATGATCTTCCTGTTCCCAAAGGATTCTGGGCTCAGTCTAGCGGGCAATGGAGAGTAATTTTAAGTTTTTGAGCAAAGGCCCTACAAGACCAGGGGAGTGCTTGAGGTAATGAATCTGGCAACAATGTAGAGACATGGAAGGAGGAAGCATGGAGAGACCCAGATACACAATGAAAGAAACAAGGTAAGGACAACGAACTTGTGGTTGTTACATGCTTTGGTAATAAACTCAGATACTGTAACCAGGAGTTTGAAACAATGAATATTGCTTCTTGGGTACAGAAAGTCCCATAGAAAATGCATATTTAACTCCAGGAAAACCTTGTAATTCCATTCTCACCTTCTCTGAATTCCTCTTTGTCATAATAATAAATCTGACTCTGTTTTTGATGTTTGACCACTGACAGCTTTTAAGTCCAACCACTCCCCCTTCTGCCTCACAGCAGTGCAAGCTGATTAGGAAGCCTGGGAATTCCTTCCTTTGTGCTGGTGGGAACGATAAAACCAGGCAAACCTCTCCCCATGCACAGGACCCCTCGAGGAGGCCCACTCCCAACCACAGTTAAAACCAAAGCCACTCCTGCCTCCCCTTCCTTCACTCAAGATGAATGGACCAATTGGGTGCCTACCCTGCTCCCCCAGAAAGTCTCATTATATGTGAGCAAGAAATCATCTTGCCCTCCTTGGTGTGTGTGTGTGTGTGTGTGTGTGTGTCACACTATCAGTCTTAACATCCAAACCAACTAAGCAGCGTCTCACACCGTGTGTGGGTGGGGCAGGGGTCCATCCACTCTCCACAGAGTAAATAGTGAACTATAGCAAAGTCCTTACTGTTCTAGATGAGATATGGAAAGATGCAGACATGGGCCATGACGGAAATTCTGGAAGGGCTCCTGAGCTCCCAAAACCTCCCTCTGGGAGATAGCTGCACTTGATTTAATGTCCCGTGGTATAAATATCAACTCAGTATTGACTACGCTGAATGGTCATACGTATTCACTAAAATACCTGGTCACCAGATTTAAACCAATCCCATGTGTGTTTGGTACCTGCGTGCCCCAGCCTCTCCCCACTGGCTCACTCTAACACAGTCACAGGAGCTATGTGCTTAATGAATTTTCCCACATCCACTTGTTTTCAATGAGAAGAAATCTCAGCACAAGTTGGTAAGGAAGCACAATTTAATGTTTCCCTCGATTAAAGTTCTAAGTTACAGTGCTAGGGCTACAGAAAGGCAACATAAATAGTAATGGAATAAATAATAACACAGTGATATTCTTCAAATAGTGCATTAGTTATAAACTAGATGATAATCTTGATTTTTGCATAACAGAGAATGTATTCCCGTATCTTTTCAGGCATACCTATATCTATTGAAAGACCACAACCATGAAAAACAGTGTCTTCCTCAAAAAAGAGTTTAGAAAATCATAATATTAACTACTTACACATCTTTAGCTGCTCCTGAAGGGCCTACGGAGGGAAAAAAAGGTATGCATTATTGTGATAGAATTACAACAAAAATGTGAAACCCAATACCCATCTAAAATAATATTCTAAAAGAGACAAGTTGAAAATATGCCTTTTAAAAAGATCATCTCAAAAGAAATAAAGGAGAAAGTAGGAACATCACATTAAATCAATTCACACAAAACTACATTCAAATTTTACATTTTGAATTTATTCTGCCCTTTTTTAACAATTCCTATAAATTTTAAGGTGTCGGTTCTGGAAAGGATCACCTCATCCAATCCCTTTATTTTACAGATAAACTGACAGAGTCGGGAAGTATTTTCATTTCAAAGTCACCCGCCTTCTAAGCCGGTGTCCACAGGGCCACAGGGCACTAACCAGGGCACTAACTTGTAAAGCGAAGTTACCAGACAGAATGGAGGTGATATCCTCAGTCAATGAGAAGTCTCAAGGACACCAGCCTAGCTCTAGGGAGTTACCTGCACTTCTAACTCTGCTCCTGTTTGCTACTGAACCCTCCCCCCCCCCACATTTTTTGCTTCCCACCCACGTGCCAAAAACATCCTGTCTCTTTCGGATCCCATGCCTATCATTCATCATAGATTCTCAACCAATAGTTGGTCCCATTTCCACACTTCCTCCTCCCACTAGCCTCATCTGAGCAACACAGACCTTGATTCTAACTTTACTAGGCATGTAGCATTTAGTGTCTTTTAACCTCTTAAAACCTCACTTCCCTCCCTTGTGTCAAATGAGGATAATAAGAGTTAATATACAACAGAGAGAATAAATGGAATGACCACCAGTGAGACAGTTATTGAAAATGGAGCTGGAGGATGCTTGGGTGGCTCGGTCGGTTAAGCATCTACCTTCAGCTCAGATCATGATCTCGGGGTCCTGGGACTGAGTCCCCACGTCAGGCTCCCTGCTCAGTGGGGAACCTGCTTCTCCCTCTCCCTCTGCCTGCCACTCCCCCTGCTTGTGCGCTCTCTCTCTCTCTGACAAATGAATAAAATCTTTTTAAAAAAATTTAAAAACAAATGGAGCTAGGAGGACCCTGAGGAGGTAAGGCTCATGCCCATCTTCTGTCCCAAATTCTCAGAAGTTTTTTGCTGAACTACCTTGCTGAAAGCCAAGGCACCTACTTTTGTCATAACAGACATAAACAGACTTTCTAACATGAGCGCTACAACCAATCACATGTAGTTTAATGTAACTGTATGTAAACGAGAACCAAACACCTTTTCTTCAAATCGATTTATGTAAGTCTTCTCTTTCCTCTTTAAAAATTCTACACTCCTTCGTCTGTCTCTCCAGAGCATGTTTTCAGCTTCAGTATAGTCTCCTGGATTGCAATCCATTAAGACCTCAAATGACCACATAAATATAATTTTGCAGCTTGCAGTTTTGTCTTCTGTTACTTGACATGACTGTGAAGATTTGTTTTTTTTTTTTTAAAGATGCATGTCAACACTTAGCACAAAGTCTGGTACCTAAAAGTAGCTCACTAAATTGTTATTATTAGCAGTCAAATTAATTAGAAATTAATATCTCAATTTCCCTATCTATGAAATGGGAATTAAAATAATCTCTGCCTAAGTCACACGGAGGTGAAAATAAAGAAAGATGTGCTACACAGTAAGCAAATAAGCCTATAGGAAAGGTCATTGCCAAAACTGCAACATTGTACCCTGGTGATATTAATTTAAAATCTGTTAATCCTGTAAATTCAAAGCAGAGGGCAAAGATAATCAACAGTATGCCTCAAACAAATTTTTTTTTTCAAACATCTTCTCCCAGGCTGCCTTTTAGGGTGTTTGTTTGTTTGTTTGTTTGTTTTGATTAACATATAATGTATTACTTGTTTCAGGGGTGCAGGTCTGTGAATCACCAGGCTTACACACTTCATAGCACTCACCATAGCACATACCCTCCCCAATGTCCATAAAGCAGCCACCCTATCCCTACCCCCACACTCCCCAGCAACCCTCGGTTTGTTTCCTGAGATTAGGAGTCTCTTACTGTTTAGCTCCCTCCCTGGTCCCATCTTGTTTCATTTTCCCTCCCTTCCCCCCATGAACCCCTGCCCTGCCTTTCAAATTCCTCATATCTGGGAGATCATATGATAATTGTCTTTCTCTGATTGACTTTTTTCGCTCAGCATAATACCCTCTAGTTCCATCCACGTCATAGCAAATGGCAGGATTTCACCCTCAAACAAATTCTTGTAAGGCTCTGACCAAACCTTAACTTCATAACAAACCTCATTCCTTTTTTTAAGGAAAGATTAACATTTCTACGTCACAACAATCATTAAAATTGTATAAACAAAAACTGCTTTGGGGTGCCTAGGTGGTACAGCCAGTTGAACGTCTGACTCTTGGTTTCAGCTCAGGTATTTGTGATCTCAGGGTCCTGGGATCAAGGCCGACGTCGGGCTCTGTGCTCAGCGTGGAGTCTGCTTGAGATTGCCCCTCCCACTCACGCTGTCTGTCTGTCTCTCTCTCTCTCTCAAATAAATAAATAACTTATTTGGAATCTGAGATCATAAAACAAAACAAAATCCTAAAATTAAAAAAAAAATTTAACATAAGAACAGAGGAGTGTTTTAATAGGAAAAAATAAGCAAAGGATGGGTGCCACCAAAAATCCATGCAAATGAATGTTTTACTCCAGAGTCAAAAAAAGCATGAGAATCTGGAAGAAAGTCTAGAAAGAAAGTAATATCCTGATTTCCGTATTTTCATGTTCATGGAAAAGTACAAAGAACATTTCGGGGTTTTGTCATGGACAGGGGATGGGAGAGCCAGAGGGGTTGGAAACTTTGATTCTGCAAAGTCTTATAGAGAGAAGAAAGCAGAGACCATAATGAGGACTCTGAGTCCTCTGCAAAGAGGAAGGGCCATCGAATAGAATCCACAGAGAGAGCAGAGGGGACAGAAGCCACCCCACTCCATCTCAGGGAGGGCCCGAAGGTGGCAGGGAATGGGAAGGCAAAGACACACACAAAGTCCTTGTTCAGATCACTCATTCAAAGGTCACAAAATCACTGCTTCGGTTTCTAATACTGGGCACATAAAGGCAGCTGAGAAGACAATGCAAGGGTAATGTGCATGTAACTAGTTTCAAAACAGCAACATGTTGTCTAATGAGCACTGATTTTAATCAGCCACCAGGAACCCTCCATCACTTCAAATGATTGCTCCGGGTGCCAGGCACCCTCAGAGCCTCTTCCCTGCTGGGATCACCATGCAGCATCCCAGCAGGGCCCCTGGCCGATGCCTGGGGTTACCTTCCAAAAGGAAGTCTGCACACCATTACTTCTGTTCTCAAACATCCTTCATTTAAAGAGTACCGTCTACTTAATATGTGCAATGGTGGGGTGGGCAAAGATATCAGAAACACTACATCAAGTATGCAGGTGTTGTAATATGTGCTCCATTTTTTTTAAAGGACAGAAAATGTGCATCTTAGAAGGAAGGTAGCATGGTATTATTAAGGATAAGCTTATAATCAGGATAGGTAGAACATGACTCCCCAAAATACAACTTGTCAGAGTAGGGAAAAAAAAATGTGCAATTGTTGGAAATCCTTGGCAAAACTATCGGAATACGTAGGTATATAAAATGTAAAACAGCTCTTTGTTCTGCAGAAGTATAAAATCATAAAATCAATAAATAGAAGAAAAATCATATTACCTTCACTACAACCTTATAATCACACTTCACCTCTATATTGATTAACCAGATGGAGATCTCTACTCTAGAGAATTCATAAAAAAAAAAAAAAAACCTTTATCTCGAACGATTCAGAGCAGCAAAATCCCATTTGCTTTAAGTTGTGTTTATGGTTTATGTGACTTAGCCTTTGCTAAACAAATATCTATAATGTCATCTAATTCTTTCCAGGCCCCTGGGATAGAGTATTGATTCCTGATATCACCACTTCATTTCCTGCCAAAATGACTCTTTACTGTTTAAACGTAGCCTTGATGTATTCATATAATGGGTCAGAAGAAGCAGAGATGGGGGAAAGGCAATAATGCTTCTTACAGAATGAAAGCACCACAAAGTACATAAGACCAAAGATTTGATGACTAGTTTCCAAAACTGTATGAAGGAGGATAATTTTAAATAACATGCTAAAAAAGAGAAGGGGGAAGGCTTGCTCTCAGAAGAGTATTATATGCAGTTTCAGTGACCAAAAAAAAAAAAAAAAAAAAGGCTAGGGTCTGTAAGGAAGAACATTTCCTTCTGAAGGTAGGAAACAGTTAAACATTGTTGGCTGTTCAGAAGGAAACCAAGATTGTATATACCTTCAACTTTACACACTTCAAAAGATTTTAATATTTTGTTTATGAGTCTCAAAGTCAAAAGTCTAAGTCACTTAAAAAGGCACAGCAAACCCAATTTATTCAAATATTCAAAAAACTTAATCTGATATCGTGAGGCTATAGAGAGATATTTGGGCTTTGTCCCCTCTTTCTGTCACAAAACTTCTAAAATCTTTGGAATTCCCTAAGTGATAAGGGTAATAGGAGCCTCTTCCATTCCAATGAAGGGACTCCTAACGGGACCCAGGATAGCTTCAGGATGGGGCACTGGTCACCAAAAAAGCCAAGTGTTGTTAGAAGCTTGGTACTGCTGTCCCCGTCCCTGTCACCAGGGAAGGGAGAGGAGCTGGAGACTGAGTTAATCCCCAATAGCCAGTGATTCCACGAACCACACCCATGTAGTAAACCCTCCATAAAAAGCCCTAAACAATGAGGCTCTGAGAACTTCTGACCTGGTGACCACATCCATGCAGCAGGAGGGTGACACACCCCAACTACATGGGGACAGAGATTCCCCCACTCAGGACCCTTCCAGACATCACTCTGTCCATCTGGCTGTTCATGTGTGTCCTTTACAAATAAACTGGTGAATTTAAATCCAAAAGTAATGTGCCTTCCTGAATTCTGAGTCATTCTAGCAAATCGTCCAATCTGAGAAAGGGTGCTG